GTTCTGCTGCAAGCCAATTCGAAAAACGTGGTTTTACTTGGAGAACTTCAGCGCCGCCATCTTGAGGCAAAATAATAACAAAAAATTGTTTTGTGTAGTTTAAGGGATGCACGTTAGAGGCCTTCGAACCAATTTTCCTTCTATGTTGTTATTTAACTACAAAAAATTCCCAAACTTACTCTGTGTTTTCAGGCGTTCACTCAGATGTTAGCCCTTAAGATTGAAGGGTGAATTCCGGCTTGTGCGAAAATTTGCAAACTCGTGTGAAATGATACAATTATAGATTTCCGACTTTCCCGCCCAAAGAAATCTCAGGCTTCCCTACGCCTCCCCCTTAAAAATCCGTACTGTAATACATCTTGCCGCACTCTTAAGCGTCGTCTACAATGGCAGTAAGCAGTAAGAAGTAAGCGTAAGCGGTAAGAAATAAACCAATCACAGTCGATTATGACAAAAATAATCAACTGTGGTTGGTCCATTTCTTACTGTTCACGCTTCCTTCTTACTGTTTGCGGCCATTGTAGACCACGTTTTATGCCTCCCGCTGGTGTGGTAATATTTCCAAACACATTTACCGTGAAAGTTGGCGATACAAAGGACAAAGAGGTGAAAGGTCAAGGTTGGCGGGGGCTGATAAAATTACACGTGAGAAAATGTCAAAGACACGGGGCTAGGCTAGGCCAACTACGACAAAACACCCGGGGCGTCGCAGATGCCGCCGCCGCCGCCGCCGCCGCCGCCGAGGTGGTCGTCTGTCTCGCGAGCAAGGTGGAACAATCCTCTCACGAAGGATTACGCGGCCGGAGAACGTCGGAGCGCAGCTGGCGGCGACGCGGGGTGGCGCGGCGACGAGACGGCGGCGAAGGGGTTGAACAGTAGAAGCTCGTACAAGTGCGAGCGCGCGGCAGCGTAAGGTGGCACACGTTATTGCGCTTGTTTTAGCCTAAGGCCGCCCTGCCACATGCGAGCCCCCGTAGTTCTCGGCCATGGCGCGTTCATATCGATTTCGCAGCGAGATGAATTAACGTCGGCCGCGCCGCGCGGCGATGCGCGTCAGTTAGATCGCGCGACCGGACGATCGCGCGTCACTTGTACCGGAAATGAGAGAGCGTTCTGTCTCGATCAGCGAGCGCGACGACAGAGGAAGGTTGCGTGAAAGGCGAGCTTTCCCGCTCCTCGGATTTTCCCTTCGCGTTATCCGCTCGCGCGACAACCGCGAGAGCGCCGTCGGTGAACGGTGAATCGCTGTCGCGCGAGGGCGCCCTTTTCCGCTCGCGCGTTCGCGAGCGAGCGAATTACTCGCTGAAAGATTGCAAAAACCCTGAGGTGAGCCTCTCTCTCTCTCTCTCTCTCTCTCTCTCTCTCTCTCACTCTCTCACCTTCTCTCTGTCTCATTCACGCTGTCGAGGGCTGGAAACTGCTGAGTCTCGCGGGGTGAGTCCGCGTTGCGGAAGAAACGCGGGAAAACTGGGCGAAGGGGGCGAGAGGGTACGATGGCGAACGGAGGAGGAGGTGGTGGCGCAAATGGACGAAGAAGAGAGAGGTGGAAGAGGGGGTACGACGGGAGAAGAGAGAAATTAAGCGGATCAATGGCGAAGCCCCGGCGAAACGAAACGCCGGGACCGTCGTCGTCGTCGTCGTCGACATCGTCGTCGGCGACGGCTGCGGCAGCCATCTCCACCCTCTCTTTACATCTCACCCTCTCTCCGTGCTGCCTTTACTGCTACTCTTCCCCCCTCCCCTCCCCGCGGCAGCTCTTTCGCTCGTTCTCCAGCGATCTCGCGTTCTTCAACGTGAAGTTTTCAAATAAACACGCGCGGCGAAGATCGAACGGTGAAGCTAATTAGAAATATATCCGCGGAAGCGGGAAAGAGAGCGCGTAATCGAGGACGGAGATGAAGGGAGAAGAAAGGGAAGAGAGGAGAGGAGAGGAGAAGAGGAAAAGAGAAAACGAGACGAGAAGAGGATGGACACGGAGGCTGCTGCGGCGGAGCGATGGAGAACGAAGCAGATGAGGCGAACGGGACGAAGGGAGTGCAGGGGAAGGGTGAACGAAGGGGGAAAGAGAGAGAGAGAGAGAGAGAGAGAGAGAGAAAGGGAAGTTGGAGCCGACGGTACTCGGCTGGTACTACGGAACGACGGGGGAGAACGGGTGAGTGAGTGAGCGAGCGAGTGGGTGGCAGGTTCGAAGAGGGACGTCGGCGGGGGGAGATTGTCGTTCCAGAGCGGCTGAGGAAGGGGCACGAGGGTGAGGTCGGGTCTCGGTTCAGCCGCGGCGGCAAGGGGAGAGAGACGTACGGGCGGTTCGCTCGTTTGCAAGACAAAGAACCCGAGCCGCCGTAGTCGTGCATAAACGCTATCAACCACATCTACATATTCCAGAGTCTGAGGGGAGAAGGATGTCGCGCGGACGCGCGTCGAAGGAACGACGGAAAAAGAGATAAAGAGAATAACGGAGAGGAAAGAATAGAGTGGCGCGGGCAGGGGGAGGAGAGGGCAGGGAAAGAGACCGGGAGAGTGTCAACAGCAGCGTCTAGCCGCGCCTTCTCGTGGACGAAGAGACAGGGAAAGCCTTCGGAGATGGCGCGCGATCGTCGCGAGAGCTTTTCTTCCGGTAGACGCGCCGCCGCGAAGGTCGCGGAGGTCGACGTAAACTGTGTCTCGAGATAAGTTTAGTTTGCGGGAGCGACGTTAAGCTCTTTACGGGATGACGCTACTTTAAAACTTCCCCTCAAGGTTGCGTCTTAAGAGCGTTGACAGTCGGCGTATCAACGGTAGAATCTTCGGGGATAGAGAGAGAGAGAGAGGGGGGGGGAAGAGGGGGAGTGGGAGAGAGAGAGAGAGAGAGAGTCGGAGAGCGTTTCGGAGGTTGGGTTAAGGGCAGGTGGCAGCGGAGGAGAGCTTTGTAGAACAGGGAGGCGGATAGAAACCCCTTGACCCAGCACCAGAGGGAGGCCGCATGCTTGGCTGATTAGCTTAATGGTGAGTCCTCCTCTTATTCTCGTGCTTGACGCCAGTTCCGCGAGTTTCTCTCCTCTCGCTCTTCTCTCCCTCATTCTGACAACGCTCTCTGCCTCCTTCCTTCTCGCCCCTTGCGCGCCAAGGCGAAGGTTTCTCTTTTTTCCCGGGGCTCGCGCCGCTCCTCTCGTGACGATCCCCATTCGAATCTCGACATCAACATGGCTCTTGACTTGATAAGAAATATTCCTTCAATTAGGGGCCGAGTATCGGCGCTTGCACATCCACCGGCGCAGACCTTTTAACTCGACTCGAGGGCAGCCTCGGTCGAGAATACGCTCGCGATTAGCCCGAGAGAGAGAGAGAGGGGGAGAGAGAGAAAGAGAGAGTATCGAACGCGCTCCACAATCCAGACATTTCCGCGTCCTCTGTGCGTGAACCGACTCCATCGCGCGCGATATCCGCGAAATTCGAGCGGTGTCCTGGGCGGAAGTGCGGGTGGGCGGGTGATTTCGCACCGACCGCGCGAGTCTGGCCAACGAATTTTATTCATAACGTTCGTTAATCGCCACCCGGTATTTCTCGTCCGCCAAATTGCCGTAACGAGGCTTATGCGCGTTAACGCGGTCGCAAACGATTTGCGCAAAGGCCGTGGCGCAAGCCGAGGCCGTGCGTGTCTCTCTCTCTTTCTCTCTCTCTCTCTCGTCGGCTGGTCGTAACGGCCATGTTAATATTTGCGCAGCTCGATACAATAAAATTATATATAAAGTGTGCTCACCCGTCCACTCGCTCACCCGCCCGCTCTCTCTCTCTCTCTCTCTCTTTCCCGGCCTTTCCCTCACCCGGACAGGGCGGAGCGTGTCGATTACGCGATCCGAACGAGAAGTATTCCATCAATTACAATTCGAGAGGAACGTCAATATTTGGCCGGACAATAGCGGATTAACTTCGTGAAAGAATTGTTGATTCAACCGATACGCGCGCACGCGCGCGCACGCCGGAGCGCGGGGGCGGGGTGTCGTCCGTCGGCGGTTGAAAGTTTATGTCTCGTTGAAAATGCACCGAGCGAAATTTTATTACGCCATTAACGGCCGCGCGTACTCACGATCACGCGTCGCGCGCGCGCGCGAGATACTGCGAAAAACGCGATAACACGTAAACGCGATAATCGATGTGCCATTTGGGAGCGCGCTGGCTGCTCGCCCAGCGGCCGCCGCTTTCTCTCGTTGTTGATCCTATTTTTATCGCCCTCCCCCATCCCCCATCACGTCGTGCACAATCACAAGGTTTGCCGGGTCGAGAGACTGCGACGATCGTCACGGCAGGCTGTTTCGCTCTCCGACGCGGTCTCTTCGCGCGTGCGAACGGTCCAGCGGTTGAAGGGAGCCTTAACTACGCGCAAGACTTACGAGCAACCTCCACCTCAGCCATCAGCACTCCTAAACACGCACTCCAATTGCTCATCTCCGTCCCCGCGCGCGCGCGCGCGCGCGCGCGCGAGCGACCGAATTCGTGTCGATTGAGAATCCGCTGGGGCCAAGGCGCCGCGAGAGCGCGCCTTTGGCGAATAGCATCAGCTCGGGCAAAGCCACACACGCCTCTTACTCGACGACGCGTAATTCCGTCTAATTAGATAGAGGGATCGCCACGGCGCGGCGGTTTCTCAACCGTCGGACGGGACAAAGGCGTGCGTGACTCTCAAGATGCAAACAACCCCTTCTCGTCCCGGCTTCACACGACCCGACCGCGACAAAGAAAAGCTCAGCGCTATTGCTGTACCGACCACGCTATCTCCATGTTGGCCATGTTGGCCTTGGTCGTAGAGAAAGACACCAAACGATTGCCATCCAATTGCACGATACGGTTTTATCGGGATCGCTCTCGTCGAGGTGACGAGAGACCGCGGCCGTCGCGAAACGATACTTCCTCAAGTACTCGAGTTACCGACAAAGCACACGGGGTGTATCGTCTCGGAAGGAGAGAAAGGGTGACCAGCGCGCGCTCGCGCGAGCCCGTGGCGAACCGTGCGGGGTGCGGCTGACCTGTGGAGGCTGCTGCGGTTAGAAGATGTTTCCAGGGCTGCTCGGGTAGCTGCCCTTGGCTGACTGATGGCCAGTAGTACTCACCGGCCGCGGCGGCTGCTTTGCCCGCGTCCAGTGGCGCATACGGCGGTATGCCCATGTGAGCAGGCGGAGGTTGCGTCAGGTGGTCCCCGTTCGGGCAGAAGAAGGGAAGCCCGCTCGGATGCGTCCCCGCCAGGCCCATCTTGCTCGCCTGCAAAACGACAGAGTGAACGATCGTTAGCGCGCGTGCTGATGAGAAACGTGGCTGATCGCGTCGCGTGTTGCTCCGGAAGTGAGAGCGAGCGATTGTCTCTCGATGTTTGGGGTGGTAAGGAGTAGTAAATGGGTAAATAGGAAACTGTTGATTGACGACTATGACTGGGCTATTTCTAGGTAAAGAGACGCTTGTACGTAGGAATATCCGAGAATTGACACAGACTTGTAAAATGCTGCAAACATTATGCCTCTCCATCGAAAACCAATCGACAGCCGCGAAATGACTGCAACATGGGGCTGGTCATACGGAACGGACTGCGCATGCGCATGACAAGAGTCCATATTACGGTCAGTTGACGGCTGTTGATTGACTCACAGGGGAGAGAAGTAATGTTTGCAGCGTTTTACAAATACGCTTTGGCGATCTCAAGTATTTTTTTTTGTAGAAGTGTCGAATTTTTATGCGGAAATCTTGCGGCACGCAAGAATCTTCAGCGAGTCATTTCTCGTCTCTGACGTTATTACCTAATATGGCCGCGAGAAGCGCAAAGCTAAAGAATAATAACGGGGGAATGAATGAGAGGCAAGCTCGCTATGACGGAAGATCAGTCGGATTAGGTTGAATCGAGTTAAAAGAAATCTCTATTCAACGGTTGTATATGACGAAGCAATTGCTCCGAGTCTTTCAGCAGAATCGTGTTGCTCTTTGAGTGTCTTGCTTGCTGTGAAACAAAAGAGACTAGAAATTTCATTCAGTGAAGCGATCGTGCGTAAAGTTGACTCTGCACACATTATCGCGTCGTTTCGTTTATACTGAACCTTTCACCAGAAGTCGAATTACTCTGACCCGATTAATCATACGAGTCGACCTATTGGTAATTGGAACAATATCTATATCGTGCATACAATTATGCGCCAGTTTTGCTCATCTTTCACCGTCGACTAAATTTTGCGGTTCAAATTCCCACGTCGGATTGCCGATCGCCAGATCGGCGTAACCTCAACCACACCTGTTTTCAGTCCCGATTTTTGTCCCCGTATATTAAAAAGTACGCGCAAGCACATCCCTCACGATTGCATTGCGAACAATACTCGCAACCTTGTACAAAGATGCGAAGCATCACACACAGCATTGGGCAAATATCGTTGTCCAAATCGCAATCGTGTCAGGTCATCGAGATGCCCATAAACATATTATCAGTACACCGTGTGTCTGCCAATAACGCATTATGTACACAGTGCACACAATAACGCGCATAATAATGCGATCCATCAGGTGGGGCGTACCCGATCGTTAACCCTAATCCGTGTGCCGTCGGTAATCGCCTTCTTGTATCGGCACGCACGTTTCATTGCGAATTCGCATGGCGACGCATGGCACGCGAAAGGTAGGACGGGCGCGATACGCGTCGGAGGAAGGAAGGCGCGCGCGAATCGCCACGGCGTGTTTACGGCGTGAAAGGCGCAAGTAGAACGTCGGGAATTTACAGTTGGTAACTCTCGAAAGAAACACGATATCCAATTCGATTCACCCCGAAGGGGAACGCTCGTCGAGGACCAGCTCGAGCGTTAATTTGCAAAGACGAGACCGGGGGCGCGGAGAAGCGGGAGAGGGGCGCTCTCTCTCTCTCTCTCTCTCTCTCTCTCTCTCTCGCTCGCTCCTCTCGAAGCTCGAGGGTTTTGTTCGACCTTTCCGTCGTCCGTTCCGTCGCTCCGACGTATCGTCGAATTCGAGTGGCTCCTCGAGGCTAGTGGTGCAACCCAGCCGCGCTGCTTCTTCAGTCACCCCCTACCTACCCCCTCTTTGCCGCTCTTTGTCAAGTGACAGTCGATGAAATTAGTTCAATCTGCTGTCGCGAATTCGCAAGATTGCGCAAGTCGTACGTTTCTCGCTCTCTCGCGCTCTTTCTCCCCTCGTCTCTTTCCATCCTCTTCCTCCACCGCCGCCACCACCACCACCATCATCGTCCAACCACTACCTCTTTCTATTCCACCTCCTGCTCCTCTCGTTCTCTCGTGCTCCTTCTCTACCTTCTCCTCTTCTCGTCGCACGGACGATCGATATAGAGGCTCTCGAGTGGTTGTCTCTTATCAGCCGCGGTGCTTACCATAAGTGCGGCGGTATCGCGCATCGATCTGACCGCCAGCAGGAGTCCCGGATCGAGGGGTTCCCTCTCCATCCAGGTCAGTACCCTCGAGAGTAGCCCGACGGCTTCCTCGGCGGTGGGTTCGTCTTCAGCGTCGTCGTCGTCGGCGGTACCGTCGTTGCCGTCTTCGTCGTCGTCGCCATTGCGATCCGACCACCTGTCCTCGAATTCTACCTTCACGCGACACTGTTGTTGCTGCTGCTGCTGCTGCTGCTGTTGCTGCTGCTGTTCCTCGTCCTGTTCCCTCTCCCTGACCAAACGCGCCAGCGCGCTCTCCTCGTCGACGATCCATCTACTGAGTTCCTCGTCGCCGACCTCGAGGCCGGCCTCCCGCGCTAGGCTCTGTAACTCGACCAACAACATCCTGTCCTCCTCTTGATCCACCATGTAGATCCGCGGCGCCAAGATGGCGCCGTTGCTGGAGCATCCCGCGAGCGAGTGATCCTCGCGGTCGCGCGGTAGCGTCCAGCTGCGAGCGAACGTTTCCGAGCGGACGCTGAGCCAAGCGCGATGGAGGTCCGCGAACGCCTCCTTGAGCGTGAACCTCCTGAGATACGCGTCCAATCGGTTGTGATCGGCCTCTTCGGGGCCGGAGTTGACCGCGGCGGCAGCGGCAGCAGCGGCGGCGGCGGCGGCATTGTTATCGCGAAAGACGCCGCAACGCGCCCTCGAGAGCACACCGGTGGCCAAGCGCACCCTGAGCTCGCGGACCACCAGTCGCGTCTCCATGCAGTCCTTGGGCACCACAAACAGCCGCACCAAGCCGTCCGCGGCGACGCAGTCACCCTCTGGCGGCAGGTAATCGGCGCTCTCGGCCACCAAGACGGCGCCGTCCGGGTGCATCGCCATTGCCGTGACGGCGAACTCGCGGTGGAACCACCAGAGGAAGAGATCGGCGGTCAGGGAACCCCTGCCGCCGCCGGCGTACACCACCGGTTGGCTCAGCATGTTGACCTTCCGCAGGCAACGTGGCCGCCAATGACGACCGGCCACCAACAACCGCGTCCGATGGTGACCCTCGTGATCCGCGGCCCCCACCACCCACACCCGCTCGCTCCTCGTGTCGCGGCTGCTGGCGTTGACGCCGCCGACACCGGCGCCACGCCGTTTACCTGGCAGGTCCCGCCAGTCCAAGTAGCAGACGTGGGCTAGGTAGATACGGCTGCGGTCGTAGCTCTCCAGGGTGTTCCTCAGCCTCTCGAGGGCAGACGAGGACGCGTGCGCGACGTCGCAGTAACCGCGCGGCGTCGACGTCCGGCAGGACGTCGACGACGTGGACACCGGGGAGGGGAAAGGTGACGACGAGGAGGACACGACGGTGGACGAGGCTGGCACCGATGGTGTGGTCGATGTTTCCGCAGCTCCATGAACCCTGTTGTTGTCCTGTCCGTTGGTCTTCTCCTCCTCCTCCTCCTCCTCCGGATCTTGGCTCGCGCCCACCTCCCGCTTGCCGATCCCTTGGTCGCCGTGATCGATGCTGATCCGCACGTCCTCCGCCTTGATCGCCAACGGATCGCTCGCGGCCGTGGACGCGGTCGAGCTGTAGGACCGTGCCGGCGAAGAGGTGCTGGATGGCGGCGAGGTCGAGCGGCGAGACGACGCGCAGGAAGACGGCGAGGAGAGCGCCAGTGGCGACGACAAGGACGTGGACGAGCACGAGGATCCGGCGGCCACCGCGGTGGCGTTCTCGTTGTTGCGCGTCGTTCGATGTTTCCTCCCGGTCGCGTGTCTCTCTCGTCGTCGCTGCCTCTCCGGGTAACGATGCACCACCGGGGTACCGTTTTCACGGGGCTCGGAGCTGCTCTCCAGGGACTGGCGCATGCGCCCTGACCATTGCGATCGACCCTCGCACGCCGTGCTTACCGCGGGCTTGTCCATTCTCGTCGTCGCGACTGCCGTTCCGCTTGACGTCATCAACGTCGACGTCGCCATCGTCGTGGTCGCGTTCGCGGTTGTCGTCACCGTGCTTCGTATCATCGTCGTCGTCGTCGTCGTCGTCGTTGTCGTTGTGGTTGGCGTTATCGTGGTCGTTGCTCCTTCGACTTGCTGCACGGTGTCCAAGGAGGCGTGCTGAGCGCGCGTTTGGCGCCCCTTGGTGGCCACCTTGCCGACACGCGCGCACTTGCCACCTCGAGGCGACATCGCGCGCCGACTCTCTCTCTCTCTCTCTTTCTCTCTCTCTCTCTCTCTTCTCTCTCTCTCCCTCTCTCTCTCTCACCCGCTCGAAATCCACGCTCCGATTCGCTGCTGGTGGTGGTGCTGCAGAGCAGGCGAACACACGGGGCTAAGGTAGCTGGTGATCGGCCGGCGTCGGGAGGCCGCCCCCCGCCGATGCCGATCGGCGGACGGACGCGGTGAACGGCGGAATTCGCGGCGACGATTCCCGAGGAGCTCGCGCTCCTCGTGCGGACGCGCGCGCGCGCGCCAGAGAGCGAGCGAGCTCATGCACGGCGCGCCGGCATCGCCTACAACCGAGCGATGACTGAGCGAGCGGCCGCGACGCGACCGTCAAAGGCCGGAGCGGGAACTAGAAGGCTTTGATGTACCGCCGCCCCGGCGCGCACAAAGCGAAAGCGGCCCCGGCTCGTTGGTTGCCTCGGCACGGGGGAGGGAGCGCGGGCAGGGGTGGTTAGAGCGAGAGAACGGGAACGCGAGGCCGAGCGGCGGCGGCCGGCGGGCGGCGGCGGCGGCGGCGGCGGCGGGCGGCGGCGGCGGCGGCGGCGGCGGCGGCGGCGGCGGCGGCGGCGGGCGGCGGCGGCGGCGGCGGCAGCGGCGGCGGCGGCGGCGGCAGCGGCGGCGGCGGCGGCGGTGGCGGCGGAGGTGGCAGCGGGAGCGAGACAGAGGGGGCACCAGACGAGAGAGACACGTACAGTCGGCTCCTCGTTGGAGCGTCCATGCGTGCCTGGCCGCCTGGCTCGCCTCATCATGAGACCCGCGACATTCCCGTGCCATGGCGACGTTGCGATCCCGGACTGTACCGCTTGGCGACGGCGACACGGCGGCAGATAAGGATTTCCGTCTACGAGAACGCCAGGATAGACGCCGCGCATGCATAAGGTCCGTCGCACTGCAATTTTCATGGGGTGGGCGAGCGCGGTTGGGGGGCAAAGCGGCCTGACACGCATTGGGAGTTTCCACAGGGATACATTTTGTTGCGTCGATTCCGAACGCTTATCTTGGCCGGCTTGAGGAAAGAATGCGCGCGCCACTACTTATCTTATTATCCGGTTATAAGGCTAAGCAGACGGAGATTAGAGACTCGGGAGAACGATCAGGTTTGGTTAGGCAACAGCAGTGCTGCTGTTGCCATCAGCACTGTCGCCGTTTGCGTTTCTCGATAACTTTCGGGGGAAAGAGAGAGAGATGCTTGTGAGGTTGGACACTCTGGTACTCGAGACCCAAGCGGCGAGGCACTTGAGAGAGCACCGCAACACGCGTCTGGTCCTTTGTGCCAGTTTTGTTTTAACGTCACGTTTCACCCAATGTTGGACTGGTCACTATCTGGGTGAACTTGATGGTAATTCGTAAGGTCGTTGAGGTGGATCACGTGCCGGCGCCAATGGCTGAACGAATGCCTCGAATCGCTGATAAATAGCGGGATTAATAGACTCGGTGCATTAAGGGACTCGGCGATGCCCGTTACCCATGACGAGACCAAATTCCATCGGTATACCCTTCCACCCTCTGCTGTCTATCCGGCAGGTACAATCTGTCAGTCATGATAATACGCGGAGAATCGCGGCGCTCGTAATGCGTGCAGCGGGTCATGGTCGACATAGTCGAAAGGGAACGGCAGCACGCGACTTTGCGACTATCGATGATCATTCTGACAGCGTCGCGCGGCCGTTTTGTTAGCGCTGTTGCGTGGCCTCTTTTGAAATCCGACTGGGGAGGGTCAAGTAGGTCGTTAGTTGAGGGACGAGAATAGAGTTGTTTGTGTGCAATTTTCCCCAAGGTTTTAGAAAGGGAGCAGCAACGAGATAGGCCGATAATCCGCCCGGGAGGGGCGGAAAGAGGAGCGAGAGAGGAACGAGAAATTTCGCGCTAGCGACAATTAGCGAGCATACGCTAAATGTCAGCCCGGCTAAACAGCCGCGACGCCGCGCCGTATGTACATCATCGGCGCTGGAGAAGAGGAGACGCAGGCCCGCGCGCGAGATCTGAATGCGGGCCAAAGTCAACTAAATATACCGATCCATTTGGCCGCATAATGGCGACGGGCGTGTTTGGAGAACGCTTCTGCTAGCTCGGCGCAAAACAAGTTAGTCCACAAAGAGGCGCAGATTTGTTTCGGCGCCCAGTGTTAAAAGCACGGCTTTTCCCGCCGGTGTTTGTTCAGGCTGTTTATCGCGCGCGCTAAACGCACGATCGTTGACACCCGATCCCGAGCGCCGTAATCAGAATCATCCCAATCGGAAAAACAACGCTTTCGCTGGATTATATCCGCGATTAATCAAGCAGTCCTCACCTCCCCCTCCCTCCAATCGTCGTCGGCGAGCGACTAATTTTATGCGGTCAAAGTGGAAGGACGAGCCGAGGTTTCTTGGATCCTCCCGCACGCACGTGCGAATTCAGCGCGCGGTCCCAATATTCTGTCCCACTCACATCGATCGATCGATCGATCGGTCGGAAATACGAGCAAAAGAGACTTTCCTCAGCAGCTGAACCCGTCGAGCGACTGAATTCTCTGCTCCTGCGATTTTGCCCGCGCCAGTTTGCGTCGAATAACCGAAGATCGCCGCCGTATCGGAGACGGGGGGGTGAACATTTACGCAACTGGGCGCTCTCTCTCTCTCTCTCTCTCTCTCTCTCTCTGCGACGTAACTCGCTCTCGCCGAGAATCGTCAGCGGAGAGCCAGCGGAAACGTTTGAGCTTCCGATGGCAAAAATGTCGTTCGCGCCATCGGAGGAACGTTTGCGCGGAAGCGACTCGCCGATGAGGGGAACGCAACACCGAGCGAGCGAGCGCCGACAGGGTCGGAGCGGGGAGAAAGAGAGACGCGAGGCGCGACGTCGGGATTAATATTACAAATCGGATTTAGCCTTGGGCGCTGGCCGCGCGCGCATGATTATCGGCGTGTCGGCATTTCATAAACGCGTCCACATCAAACGCAGCGGGTCGGTCGATCGCGATAATATTTGTCACGTAGTTGCGGTACGCGGCGGCAGGCGTGTGCACCGCGGCTACTCGGTAATCGATCGGCTATGCCAGCCCAGGTAGGTACTATGCGTGATTACTCTCAGGTGCGTCGCGCGCTATCTACACGCCCCCGGACTTTTATCGCACGGCCGGCAGCGTCGATCCGTAAGATCGCTTGAGATTTCGGGGTGTGTCGGGTGGCTTGGCAAGCTGCGCGGACCTGGACGACGAGCAACTCGAAGCTGTGATATCACTCCATAGTCGCGGCCGTGTGACTTTATCCTTCTCGTTTCTCCTGGGTTTCCTCCGGTTTCTTTCTGTCATTGGGCAAACGGTCGAGGTAAATTATTAAACAAAGTTATGCCCAGCTGTGAAAGTATCGACTCTGCAAAAATCGCCCTGTGGGCGGATTTTTTTTTACGCGGGGAGAACTTTTATCACGGTGCCACTGGATTCTTGGTCGCCTGGGGAGAATAAGGAGCAGAGGATTCGTCAATTTTTCTAATATCATCCACTGAAAATGGTTTATTGGTCCCTGTAGGGGTTGTCGTTCCAAGTCATTCCAAGCGAACTTAATACAGCCGGGTGTTGAAACGAAGGACATTTTCGACGACGCGGTGAGGAAGGTGTTACTGCTCGTCGCTGAGTTTTCGCCTATTTGATTACACAAACTTCTTCTCCCTCCTCTAATAATTCTCGGAAAATACATTTTCCCATTTGGCAAATATCCCAGATGCGCCCGAGATGATCGAGATCGCATCTGAGACTCTCAGAGAGATCGGCACACGACTGGAGCCGACTACAAAACGCGAGTCCGCGTCCGGGAAATTTTTTATCGGGGAGCGTCGCGCGACTTTGCAACGCGACAGTTTTAACTTCGTTTTCCTGCCGATTCCGGCTCTTCGCTCGTGTTTCCCATACTTTAATTATAGCGGTGGTCGCTCACAGGGAGAGAGGCACGTTCGCTCGTCCGCTCGCTCGCTCTCCTTCCATCTCTCTCTCCCCCCCGGTGATCACGAATTTACCTATCGGTGGCACACGAGAGTTGGTTTATCCGGCACCTCCGCGGCCGTCGCCGCGCCCGGCGGCTTTCTTTTCGCGACTGGCCGGCGCACGTTTCGCGCCTTTTTATCGCGAGCGCACCAGGGGCGGGTTCGAAAGTTGGGCAATCTCGGAATCAATTAACGCCCGGGATGGAAACTAGCCGGGCTCGTTCCTGACTAACGATTTTAGAACGCCGCCGCTGCTGTGTAACTCTCTGTCGTCGTATCCGCCTCTACATCGTACGAGTCCCCCTTTCTACGACTGCGGGATCGTGAGCGTGGACCTCCATCTCTCTCCCCCGCTCCTCTCCCTCTCCGTTCGCGTGTACGTGTAGCTTTTAATTGGGTTATCTGTCCCGGAACGCTGTCGTTACAGACCCGATATAGCGCATTTCCATGTAAAGCCGGCGACCCGGACGAAACATATTTTAAAGATAGCGCGTGGCACGCACGCACATACGCGTCTTTTTCTCGCGGCGTATCTTTGCCGCGCGCGCGAAAGAGCGAGATGGAGGGGAGAGGGAGGGAGGGAGCGTGAGGTTCTCGCAGGCTTTCGGGTCCGCTGAACACGGTCACTTCCGTGTAATCGAATTATCGCGCGATAAAAGCCGGGAGGCCGGGGCTTTCGGTCTATAATTTTAAGAATTAGATACCGCCAGCGCGTTCGAGAGAGAGAGAGAGAGAAATTGAGAGAGCGCGGCCTCGCGTGCGCGGGCACATCGCGATATTCGACGCGGCGATATTTACGGCGGAATTAAATATCGGCCCGCGCGAGCGCCGAGCGAGAGCGATACGTTTGTCGCGTATTTACATGACTGAACTCGCCGTGTAAGTGATTACAAACGGCGCGATACTCGCAGCGCGGCGCCGATCGCGCGAGAGCTCTCTCTCTCTCTCTCTCTCTCTCTCTCTTCGCCTCCTCCTCCTCCTCCTCGTCCTCGTCCTCGTCCTCCGAAGCCTTCGTCGGAATACGCGCAACGAAAACCGATACCTTCCGACCGCGAGAACCGGATACCGGCAGGATCCGACGCGAAACGCGCGCGCGGGGTATTATCGATCGCGAGTCTCTCTCGCAGCAGGACGAGCGGCGCGGATATAATCGAATTACCTGGCGAATTTGCGAGAAGGGCGGTCGAGGCCGATTCGAAGTTTCGGGTGTTCCTCTCTGCCGACTGCGCCGCTAGACAGAGCGCCGCGAGAGAGTCGCGAAGAGCGTGTGTCCCTTTCCCTCTGTGCCTCGCTGCCTCCCTCCCTCCCTCCCTCTCTCTCTCTCTCTCTCTCTCTCTCTCTCTCTCTCTCTCTCGCTTTCTCTCCCTCTGCCTCTCCCTCTCGCCCGGTTCGCCGGCTCGTTCGACGACGGAGGGAGTTTACCATCGATTTAACCCCCTTCGGCTACCTTCCCTCCTGCCGTACTCGCGCGCAATAACACGGCCATGCCGACTCCTCCA